ATATTCGATTATAATTGGTCAATTTTTACTTCTTAAAGCTTAAATCACCTATTGTGGACCGACACTTAAGCCTATTCTACAATGCGTCGGGTGTCGTTGTCGTGAGCCATAAGAATGGGCCAATCACAATCAAATATTCTCTCCACATTCGTCTGTGATTGACTCGTTTTTACAATTCACGACTCACAATAACATCGACGCATTGTAGACGAGGCCTTAGCAAATCGAAAATATTATTAATCTACATTGATAAAAGTGCACATGAGAGCGTTGCGAACGTTAAATAGAATGCGCCTCTCATGCATTTTTTTTCCTCCCACCACCTGCTGCGCAATCGCAAGATATGTTTGGCGGGTTTTATCGTCGGACGCTTCGAACCTGTCGAACCTGTCCTCTCATATACGTAATACACACGTAAATTTCTTCAATTTTCGCATGTGTCATCATTTCGTGATCCGATCGGGCATAAAAGGAAAATTAATTTTACTTTCTTACTTAGAAACGGATAAATTAATCAGAGGTTAGTCCTCAACGAGACGTCGAGTGCGACTGATGATCGTCGAGAATCGTCGTAGATTGGCAAAATGTCGAAAATACGACGACTGTCGGTTCGTGGGATTCGTAATTTTGGCGATGACAGCGAGGATGCGTTGATTCGCTTTTCCTGCCCGATGACGCTCATTCTCGGTCCGAACGGCACGGGGAAAACCACCATCATCGAGGCACTAAAATTCGTGACGACCGGCGAGTTCCCACCAAATTCCGACAAAGGAAAATCCTTTATACATGATCCTGCACTGGCGACAACTGGCTCGGTATATCAGTGATTATTAATTAATTCATATTAATTTATTCATTAATTTAACATTTCTAAATTCTTCTTGCATTTATATTGCTCCTCTTTCCTTCTGTTGTATTATATTGGTAATATTTACATTTATATTCAAAAAGTTATGTAACATAAAACAGTGTTATTATATTTAAATATAAGTTTATATTAAAATTTAGATAATATGGATTTATATTAAGTTTCTTTTTAATTGTCTAATTTGTCTAATTTAGTCTTTTGTTTTTTTAATTTATAATCATTAAGTCTTTCTTATTTAAATTTTCTGAAAGATTTAAGGAACAAAGATTTATCATTGTGCTGTACTATTAAAGTTTTGCTACAGCAAAATGAGAATATGTATTTATATCAAATTTATCTGACTTATCAACTCTAGCTGTTTTATTTTATCATTGAATCTTATTTAAATCTTCTGAAGAAGTGGATAAAGATTTATAGTTATTATGATTTTGCTATGGCAAAATTGGATTATATATTAAATTCCTTATTGTCTGTTTATGTCATTCTTCTATCTTTTTGGGTTTATGATTATTGAATCTTTCTTATTTAAATTTTCTGAAAAATTTAAGGAACAAAGATTTATTATTGCAACTATTAAAGTTTTTGCTACAACAAAATTAAAATATGATATATATAGAAATATGTATTTATATCAAATTCACAATCTGGCTTGCATCAGCTCTTTAACTGTTTTATTTTACAATCATTGAATTTTTCTTATTTAAATTACTTGAAGAATTTAAAAGAACAAAGATTTATTGTTGCAGGTTAGAGGTGTTGTCAAATGTGAAATAGTTGATTCAGCGGGTCAAATTTTTGTAGTATCTAGAACAATCGAATCAATAAAAGATGAGAGAAGAGAGAGATTTAAAACTCTCGATAACACTTTAACTACAATAAACAAAGCTAAGAAAACCGTAAATATCTATATCTGCTGTTAGAGTATAATGTTTAATTTTAAGATTATATCTTATTGAATTCCTTTTTGAACTTATAACTATTTTGTTTTCCCGATACAGAAAACAACAATAACTAATCGATGTGCCGATATATATGTAGAAGTTGGTGCAGCGTTGGGTGTTTCAAAATCAATTCTGAATTACGTCATATTCTGCCATCAAGATGAGCTTAACTGGCCATTTGATCAAGGGAAAGCATTGAAAGAGAGATTTGATGAGATATTTGATAGTACGAGATTTAACAAAGCTTTGGAGACTATCTCGAAATTGCAAAAAGAACTACAAGCTGATATTCGAAGCTTAAACGCAGAGAAACAGAAATTCAAGGTGCTCGTGTCCGAAGTTGAGGATAAAGAAAATAAGCTTAAGGATCATAAAAAAAGATTGGACAGCGTAAAGGAAAAAATAAATGATATCGATAAACAACTAGAACCTGTGAAACAGAAAATCGAAGAAATGCAACAGTTTAATTTAGAATACAAAAATGTTCAGGCTGAGGAAGGTAAATTGATTAAGGATTTATCTAAAGTGTAGATAAAAAGCAATAATTTTCTTCCATTTCCAGAAAAAAAGAAGATGGAATACAATATACATAAAGATCAATATGAAAAATTGAAAGATACCTTAAAAAATATATTTGAAGGGACAACAGAGGAATTGAAAGCGCTCGTTGAATCGTACGACACAACATTGAGAGAAAAAAATATTGAAATAAAAGAGGTATATATAAATATATATATATATATATATAATGAAGATATCTTGGTATATATTATATATTGATTTACTACTGCCAGAATGAAACCGAGATAAAAGATATCTCCATGAAGGAAAGTAGGATCTCAAATATCTTAGCGACGCGAAGAGAAACTGTAGGCACATTAAAACAGCAAGTGATAGATTTTGAATCTAAAAAAAGGCGCCGCAATCAGTTATTGAACGAAGCATTGCAAGTTTGGAATTTCGATACAGTGGAATCAGATGTATCTGAGATAGGTATACTTTAAAGATATTAATTTCATGTAACTTTTTAATAGTAAATTACTTCATTTTTCCTCTTTGCTCGGGCAAAAATTCTATGCGCAGAGGTGAAGGCTCTTACAAAAAGATTGGAACAGAAGATGCGGGAATTAGAGAAACGGGTAGAGGAAAATAGATTGGCCATGCAGAGTGAAGAGAAAAAATTACAAGCAGAAGTTGATATATTGCGTAGCAATTATTCAAAGATAGAATCGAAGAAAGTTTTGAAAGAAAAAGAAATAACAGAGATAAGGGAAGAAATAAATACAATTCGAAATCAAATAACACAGGTATGCAATTTTTAACAAATTTTTATTATAGAAATAGATTTTTTTAAAGAGTAACTATGTCACACAATTTTTTAATGTAGATTGGTGCAGCAGGAAACAAATTAAAGTCTATCGAACAAAAACTTCAAATGGCCAAACAAAAAATTGATGAACTTAACAACTCAATGAATATTGATTCTGTAAAAGCCGATATTGGAGAAAAAATAAAATCCAGAGATAAGATTGAAGCAAGTTTAAGTGCGATTGACGACGAAATTTCTGCTTTGCATAAGTTGAGCTCGTTGACGGCGGAATTTGAATTAAAAAAGTCGGCATTACAAACCAAGGAAGAAGAGCTAGAAAGTTTGAAGAAAAAACATGGAGATAGCATCAAAGCATTGTTAAATATTCAAGAATTGGAACAAACGAAACTAAAGGATACTTTGGAACGTATTCATCAAAAATTGGTAAATAATAATTAATTTTTGTTTACATATATTACGCATTTGTAAAATTTTATCGATTTTATAAACTCCAGGAAAAAGAAACAAATAACTTGACACGAGAGATTCAAGCACAAGAACGTAAAACTACAGCTTTTGAAACAACAGTACGGCATATAGAGTCCGACATTAAGAAAAAAACGATGGAATTATACAGTAAGAATATTTTATTTTCTGATATTTCTGATAATTGTATGAATTACATATACATGAAAAATGTCTATATGGTTATTTTAAATGTTTTTTTATTAGACGATAAAGAAAAGATATCTACAGTCTGCGATTACAAAGATTTTGATGAGACTTTGTTGATGCAATCAACGATAGTAAAAGATCTTCAGGACAAGAGAGGAATTTATGCTTATCAGGCTACAGCTTATAAGGAATATATTAAAAAGTTATCTGTAAAAAATCCTTGTTGTCCCTTGTGTCATAGAAATTTTGAGAAGCAAGATAAAGTTACAGATTTAATAAAAGAGATGGAAGGTGACATAATACGTAATCAACCTAATCGTTTAAAATCATGCGAGAGGGAACTAGAGAAAGAACAGAAGAAATATGATGATATGCTGCAATTAAAACCCATTGTCGAAAAAGTTATTAAATGTGAAGAGAATGATTTGAAAATATTAGAGTGAGTATATTTCACCGTATATTATATTATTTGGATCTTTGATCTTATACAAAGTTACAAGTTTAATACATTTTGATATTTATGATTTTAATTTTTTTTTTTTAAATTAGGGAGAAACTGCAGAAAACGAAGAATAGTGTAACACAGTCAAAGATGATTATTAAGAATTTAGAAGCTTCAAAGGAAAAACCCGAGAAAAAATTGTTATTGTATAAAAATATGATTGGCGATATCAAATTTTGGGATCGGTGTATAGATGAGATACAGCAATTGAAGAAGACAGTTAAAAACATGGAAACTCAAATGGCCAACGCTGGTAATGTTATTTTGATATGGTAATGATATTTTGATATTACAACAATTTACAATTATTAATTAATATTTCTTTCTACATATAGGAGTTAAGACCGAAAGAACTATAGAGGAAGCGCAGGCACAACGAGATACTTTAAAAACATCTCTTAGAGAAATTCGTAATAATATCGATGCGTTGCAACTCAAATTGGGCAAGCATAATGAGAGACTGCAAGATGCTAGAGCTATGTATAACGGGTTACATGAGGAGCAATTGAAAATACATTCTGATATGCAGAAATTGAAACACTTGAAGGACAAGCAAGAGGACTTGTATACGCGAGAGATCACCGTGGGAGAGACAGTGGAGAAACTACGGAAGGATCTGACGGATGCTGAGACTCAATTGGATTCTGGAATTCAGCGATTGGAAAAAATCAAGGTTTGTTTCTTATAATATATTTTCGAACGCGGTTAGCAATAAAATAAAAAAATCAATTTAGCGTTTGTAGTGTATAAAGAAATTTTAAGACATTTCTTTTGACAGGCGGAAAACTGGACAAAGCAAGAATCCGAGAGAAAATCGATTACTGAAAATTCCAGACGCTTATCCGACTTGCATAAAATATTAAACGAGATCGAGTCTTTTATTAGTAGCAAGATACTGGAGAAACTCGAGAATTACAAGCAGGAAATAGAGACTTACGAGAATTCGCTAAAGGAACTTACGAATAAGAAAAACGATATAGAGCAAGTGATAAATAAATTAAAAGAGGATGTTGCCTCCCAAGAGATTGGAAAACGAGAGTTACTCGATAATATGACATTGCGTAAAATTAAGGAAACGATAATCATTTTGAAGGAGCAATAC